ACTGGTTGCTTCAATTATTTATGATTAATAAAATAATACCGCAAGCACTTATCCCCACACGACCCAAGGCACTTACTGGTTGCTTTAATTATTTATGATTAATAAAATAATACCGCAAGCGCCTATCCCCACACGACCAGAGAAACTTACTGGTTGCTAACTTAAATTACTATTAATAAAATAATAACGCAAGCACCTATCCCCACACAACCGGAGAAGCTTACTGTTTGCTTACTTAATTTACTATAAATAAAATTATGATGCGAGCGCCTATTCCCACATGACCCGAGAGGCTTGCATTATTTAATTGATTTTAAATATTTATAGTGACCAGTTACCACCCCTGGTTGTGTTACGATTTCCGTTATTATATTATTAATAGTAATTTAAGTAAACGATCAATAAGAGCCTTTTGTTGTGTGGGAATAGGTGCTTGCGTTTTTATTTTATTAATCATAAATAATTAAAGCAACCAGTTAGTGCCTTGGGTCGTGTGGGGATTGGCGCTTGCTTTAGTAATTAATAAATTTTATTATTTATTCAAACTCATGAGGCTGCTTATTGGCCGATTGGGTTATTGGGTTAAATGGCTTGGGATTAGCTTATTAAGTTTTTGTGCACGTAATTGTGTGGAGTTATCTGGGTATTTGCGTCTTGCAATACGTTGCACATTTGAATTTCCCACAAGTTTGCCAGTCATATTTGGGGAAAACTACTGGCCTCCTCCCCCCTCCTATTCAGCTTTTGCATCTTTCTCACTAGGATCTGTAGCTATATATAGGTCCTAGTGATAAAATTGCAAAATCATATCCTCCTCACCAGGGTTGTTAATAAAAGTTGCTTTTTAGAATTAGAAGTTTTGAAAGTTTTAAAACTTTTAAAAGTTCTGTTTTGTTTGCTACAATCTATATAGCTATCTATTTTAAAGGTAGCTATAAGGCATAGGGTCTATAGAGTATAGAGGTAATGCGTGTTGTGCTCTCCTACTGTAACTAGTGTACGAACCCTAATTTTTTTTTGTCAATCAGTTGATGCCAGGGATCTCAGAAGTGATAGAATAACTTGGCGGAAAATTCAAATGGACTATATGGGGCATGACGCAGAAGCCCAGATAACACTTTTATGCATAATAAATTAATTAATTAATTTATGACCCACTAAGCAACCTGGGTCATAAATAATTAATTGATTTATTATGCATAAAAGTGTTATCGGGGTTTCTGCGTCATGCCCCATATAGTCCATTTGAATTTTCCGCCAAGTTATTCTATCACTTCTGAGATCCCTGGCATCAACTGATTGACAAAAAAAAATTAGGGTTCGTACACTAGTTACAGTAGGAGAGCACAACACGCATTACCTCTATACTCTATAGACCCTATGCCTTATAGCTATAGCTATATAGATTGTAGCAAACAAAACAGAACTTTTAAAAGTTTTAAAACTTTCAAAACTTCTAATTCTAAAAAGCAACTTTTATTAACAACCCTG